CTTTTCCCTTTGCCCTTTTACTCCCTTGTCTTTGTTTTCCAAGTTTTGGGTTTAAACATTCAGCATGTCAGTTTCAACAGTAACTTTAATCTCTATAATTTTGTAGTTATCCCTTCCATTTAACTGGTTTTAATATTAGAAGTCAGACTTACATTCTATTCTTTTTTTTTTTAGACAGAGAGAGAGAGAGAGAGAGAGAGAGGAGAGAGAGAATTTCAATATTTTTTCAGTTTTTGGCGTACACAACATCTTTGTTTGTATGTGGTGCTGAGGATTGAACCCGGGCCGCACGCATGCCAGGCGAGCGCGCTACCGCTTGAGCCACATCCCCAGCCCTACATCCTATTCTAACCTATAGATGATGGCTTATTATCTCAAATTAACTCAGGTTGTTCTGTTAGAAGGAGTACTTGTTCAAAACACAAATATGCAAAACTTATAAAATTCTACAATGAAAATATAAAATGAAATTAACGAGGCCAAAAATGTATTCATTAAGTTCCTTTTTTTTAAAATCTCATGTTGGCCCAGTTAAGCTGATATCAGAGGTCAGTTTCTCACTATCCCTGGAAAACTGGATCCCAGGTAATCTTTACCTCCCCTCTTCAAGTATTGCTGAAGACTTAGAATGCTCATTGCCAGATCCTTCTCCTTTTTTTTTCCTTACTGATAACAACTCATAAATTAAATATGCTTAAAGTGTTAAAGAAGGACAAATAGCATATAAGTACTATACTAAGGTACTAAATTAAAATAAACATTCAGACATGTTTATAGTAATTACTTCTACATTAATATTAAATAATTTATTTATATCATCTTGTATTGTTTGGGGGTTCTCATTAATATTTAAATAATTTGTTTATATCTATCTTGTGTTGTTTTTTGGGGGGATGTACAATGGACTCATGACATGGAACCTTCTTTGCTTTCCACCTCAGAAGCAGATTTTCAGAATCCAATCTGAAAATCTGTATGTCTTAAGGTTGATTACACACAGGGTGTTGTGATGGGGTGACAAGAGAATTGCCACCCCTTACAGAAGAAAAACCTTCTCTTGGCCTCTGAGATGCATGCTCTTGGAAACAGTAGGCTATTGCTCTGACACAGACAATCCCATATTATCATTTATTCAGAAAAAAAAATACTATCCGTGGCAGGAAGAAACTATGCAAAAAAGAACTAATTACAACTGTGAGGTTGCATTCTTGAGACAATTAGCACATCATGGAAGTGTGTATTTTACATTAAATACCAGATGGTCTCACGTGAGCAGCCATGCAATTGAGGAAATTGCAAAAGTCCTAAGAGTGAGAAACTGTCACTTTAAATGGCTTTTCTTTAAAAGAAAGCTGAAGAGCCAAAATGGAAACATGAAATCAAAACAGCAAAATCTAATGGGATCTGTGTGCTGATAATTTCAACAGGTAGTCAGGAAAAAAAATGAAAAGATCTTTGGTTTACTCCACCAAGAGTAAACAAGTTTCAGTTATAAAATTAAGAATCATATGACTTGGAAAATTACAAACATTATATAAAATAATTTTGATTTTTTTCCTATTCTCCTCACAGCAAATATATAGATAAAGCAGATATTAATCATTTCCATATTCAAAAGGAGATATAGAGCTTTCGAGAGACTGAGTGCCTTGGTCAAAGTCAAACAGCTTCTAAGTGATAAAACAACTTGATTTCAGATCTTCTGACTCGAAATTCCATGCTTTATGCTTTCTGTTGAGTGGCAGGATCTGAGAAACAGCTCTCCTCTAGGCTTTGCACTTTAGGAGAAAGTTTAGCCTCATAAATATTTCTCACTCCAAGGAATAGCAAAGGTCAGCTTGCTGTGTGCTCTGTCTATCTGACCCGTCAGCATTTTGCCTCAGTGCTTCCACACTTTTGGAAGCTTGACCATAAATAAATAACGCCCTAAACCAGGGTTGCCCAAGGATGGCTGCCCTGGAACTCTAACGATGCTGATACAGTCAGTTAGGGAAGAAGCTCCTGCTCTGTTGCAATGATGTGCTCATTTATTCTTATTAAGATAAATCTACATAATTTATTTTAAATAATTTATATCTTGTGGCACCAACAAAGGAGACCAATTAATATAGTGCTCTAAAAGAATACAGCAACTGTTTCTTTCTCATTTTCTTTTAAAGAAGCTGCTTATTTAATCTCTCAGGTTTTGGTTAATGACATTTACTGAGTTTGATATTCATGTGCTCTTCATTTCCTTAGTTTCTAGATGCTGCAAAATTAGTAGCAAACATTACTTTTTTTTTTTCCTCCACGAGTGTGTTAGCTCTGAAAGGCCAGGCAAGGGCCAAAATCAAAACAAACTTTCTGGAGTGTTGAACTTACACACATTTATAACCCTCTGTTTTTGCTCTGATTTCTCTGGCTAAGATTCCCTTCCCTCACTTCAAACTCAATCCTCATGGAAAATTTACTGGAGCCACTATCTTCCTCTTGAAGCCCTCCCACACTGCTCCTGCTCTGAGTCATCTTTCTTTGCTATAAGCTGCCACATTAGGCATATTCTCTGCACAAGATTTTGCTTACACTATTGCATGTGTAATATTGTATAACATAATTCTGTCACTGTGTCTGTCACTGTGTCTGCTCTGATTGAATGGAGTTTTACCTTCTGTAGTAATGGGCCCAGAATCACATAAAAAACAGTTGATTTTCAGTGTCAATGGTATGAATGACCTGGATAAATGATGCCTTATTTCTAAAAGATATGCTTCTTACCTTAAATCCCAACTTGCCTGATTGGGTTCTCTCTGTTTTGAGGAGGTGTAATTTGTGAGGGATTAATAGCAATGATAAAGAATGCTTTCCTGACTGTCAGAGGTGTTGTTTTCACTCATTAACTCTTATTCTTTGCATTCCATTAGAGAGAACTATATATTTATATTTATATTTTTTTTTGAGAGAGAGAGAGAGAATTTCAATATTTATTTTTCAGTTTTTGGTGTATACAACATCTTTGTTTGTATGTGGTGCTGAGGATGGAACCCGGGCCACACGCATCCCAGGCGAGAGCGCTACCACTTGAGCCACATCCCCAGCCCGAGAACTATATATTTAATAAGACACAAAGAGCAAGCAAATGTATATTTGGCCCTTGCTAGAGACAAAGTCTCATCTGTTAACTTTCTTCATTACATGTTACTCCCCAGCAAATGAACCTCTTGTTTTCTCCCCAACATGCTATGTCAACTCTCAGTTTTGTGATTTGGATGTGCCATTAATTCTGCATATTTGCTTTCCCTTCCTATCCAGTGATTTTTTGACTTCTTAAGTATCTAATTCCTGAAACAAAAAAACAGTTTCATCTTTTGAAATTGTTGTTGGAGCACTCTGGAGATACCACTACTATGAAATGTTTCATTTATGGTTCTTTACTTTTTGATTTGTATGCCTCTTTCCTCCCTTAGATGTAGAATTTCTTTGGGAACCATGTTTTTTGGTTTTTTTCCACTCTGTATTGTCAGAGGGTTCCATAGGGCTCGAGACACAATTAATGCTTAGTAACTTCTTAATGAATTAGTGATTTTTTTTTTTATTAACAGGCGTTATCACCTCTGCATGCAAAGCAGCTTTTTAGGCAATAACGAAGAATGAAAACTGACTAAAACAAGGTCAAGAGTTATAAATTCTTCCATTTGAGGACCAAGGAATGTAAAGATGGAAAGAAGAATTATAGCAGAAACCTGAACTGTATCTCAAAAGAAAAAAAGAAAAGAAAAGAAAGGAAAAGAAAAGAAAAGAAATCCATTAACCGAGAAAGAGTAGTATATGGGTGGGAGAAACAAGGTCATTGCAGGCTGAGAGAGCAGCTGGGCACCTTGGGACAATTACCTGAGCTGAGTTAAAGGTAAACTCTGTTAAATGTAAATAAAGCAGCATGACTTTAAGAGAAACAATGCATAATGAATTAAAGTAGATTAAAACTAGAGACAACCCTCTGAGAGCCCAAATGTGTTTAGTGTAGTTTGAAATTAACTTAATGTGTGAAAATTCAGACAAGTTGTCAGGGAAAACAGAACAGCATTGGGCTGGCATGCTTTAGCCTCACTAACTTGAAACAAGTGGCTGGGCATGCAGTCATCCTTTAGCACTAATTATGTTATTATTAATTTAGAGTCATGATCTGAGCTAAAAATTGAATCCAGAGTTGGGAACTGAACTTCATACCTGATTCCATGTTTTAAACCTTAGCTAAGGTGGGCATACCTGTGTAGGGCAAGATAGAGTCCCCGCTTTACTTAAGTTTTAAGCTGAATTAGATCCTTCAAAATAAGATGATGCTCACATCTCTGGTTTCCTGAAGATAAAGATGTCCTTGCAATGGCCAGGAAGCATCAGAGTATGTATACCAATCTGTGCTGAATCAAAGAGTGTTTCTAGGATACTGCTTTGTATGGTCCCCACAGCCCCCCCACCCAATTTCATTTGTAACAATTGCATTTAAAAGACTTACACTGTGGTGAAGCAATTTCTAGAAATTTGGCTGAAACTCTATTACTCAGGTTGCCAAGTAATTACAGGACATTGGAGCAATACAAAACAGAAAAGAATGAGTGTGTGATGGTGTGGGTCTTTGATGACTGATATACTGTTTCATCAATGACTGGCATAACTGTTTGGTAACTACCCAGTGGAGAAACTGCAGAGAAGTTGTTTCAGCATGTCAATTTAAAATATTCTGCATATGGAGAATAGGTGACCTAGAAAAACAGGACTCAGAGCAATGACTAAAGTGAGAAGATAAAAAAGATTGGGACATTGGATGAAGACAGAAGCAAGGGCTAAGAGTAAGACAAGTGACTAAAACTGTTGACCTGCAGTCATTAGGGGGGGCCAGTCAGAGCTTCTCACTGGGTTCAAGTACACTTGCAGTATGGCAGAATGTGTTAGCAGTCAACTTTTGTACTTATGAAATGACTCATTGGAATTGAAATCAACCAAAGATTATTCTTAAATAAACTTACGTCAAAAAAGCATTCCAACAGTGCTTCTAGAATGGAAGTTCGGCTCTGTCTTACATCTGGACCACTGCTTTTGTCTATGTTAATTGTTCTCCAATTGAGATCTACAGACCAGAGGCATTAGCATCACATGGGCACCTGTTGGAAATGCAAATTATCAGGCAGGTCTAATGTATCAGAAACGTTAGTGGTGGAGACCAGAAATCTATGTTCTAATAAACTGTGTAAGTAATCCTGATGTTCCCTAAAATTTTTTTAGAAACCACTGACTAGTTAGTCAGGAGTCAGTGCATAAGATGGATGTACTTTCAATACTTCTACACTTTCAAAATGCTTTTATGAACTTAATCCAGAATTTAAACATATGACACTATAAGTTTTATTACTCTGGAAAAAAAATGACTCTGGCTACTTAAAACTCCAAATAAGCCAGTTAAGATGCCAATCTATTTTTATGTAGGTGATTCAAGTCCATTGCTCTTTTCTTTGCTGCGGGGAACCGCTGAAGAACAAGACAAAAGACACAGCAGTTATGATTTTCTTGGACAACAATCAACTATCTTACTGAAAGACAATTTGCCACTATTCAGATGACATTTGAGGCCCAAAGTTGATGGTCAGCTCCTTTGCCAACTATAAAGACCTAGATTTTAGATGCCTAGGGAAAGATAAGCCAAAGGAATAAGAGCTATGTTTTTTTTAATGTAAATTTTCCAATTAATGTTTTTTAAAAAAGCATCTTATTGATAAAAATATTCCATCAAGTCGGAGACTTACATCAATTATAAAAACCAGTTTTTCCTCTATGCAACCAACTTCATAAAAGCAGTTTGATGACTAAAACTGAAAAATACTGTGTCCTAAAAAAAAATGAGTTTGCAAGCATAACTCTGTGTTTGTGTAAGCAGTAATACAAGATAGCAAACACACTTAAAATGTCATAAAGGCTTCCTGTGGGTATAATATGCCGAATGAAGTCAAAGGCCAAATGAATCTAGTCCCCAAGAGTTCCATGTAACTGAAAAACCTGCAGTGTATCACTGCAGTTAGAAAATGGTTATTTTTAAGTTTGCCTAGTGAAACTCTTCTGACTGTGTGCATGGAAATCCCATTAAAGTTCATAGATGCTGCACATACAATCAGAAAAAGACATGCAACCCCCTAATGTTTTCTCTAATGAACTCTGACTCAGAAGGTAGCAACTAATAATTACACAGCACAGAATCTGTATTAGATTGCTTTCTCAGTTTATGACTATCTGAAAACTGTGCGGCACAGTGCACACCTTCTGTTTCGAGATGAGGGCAAGGATATTTTTTCAGACTGCAATTTAAACAGGGAGCTAAATTCCTGACCCATTTTATGGTCAAGGGATATGAATAGATAATTATTCCAACTGGTGAGTCAATACTTCAAGGAAAACTAAACAAAATTTCAAAAATAATAACCCCCTTTTAATAACAGAAAAATGTGACTAACCCAAACATTAGTAAAGCTACCTGTGTGTACATAAGATAGAAATTTGATTTTTTTTAATGAAGACTATGCTGGTTAAATTGCAATGGAAATTGAAAAATATCTGATTTTTTTTTCATCAAATAATGCAGTTGTGAAAATAGTGAATCTGAATTATATACAACAATGTATGTGGCTCTCTCCAAAAAAATATATAAAGCAAAAAAAGTCAGATAGGAATACACTTTCTATGCTTTCCTTTATATAAAATGAGAAACAGGTAAAACTAAACACAATAATCATGAACATTGGGCAGCACAGTCACTAGAAAGGGAAATGAACAGGGTCTCTCAGGTGTTTGTGTGTCTTAATATGGGTGGTAATTAAATACCTGTGTTCAGCTTATGAAAATTGTGTTTCCACCTTTCTCTTATACTATAATGGAAATATAGAATAAAAAAACAATGAGCCGTGCATTGTGGCACAGGCCTGCAGTCCCAGGTATTCAGGAGGATGGTGAGTTCAAGGCCAGTGTGAGCAACATAGTGAAATCCTACAAGACAGAAAGAAAGAAAGAAATAATGAAATTAAAATGATTTGGCTGCATTGAGAGCACATAGCAGGAAAACTACCACAATTCACATCTATGTAATTTTTATTTTTGAATTATTTCTTTAGGATAAATTTCTGGATTTTTCCTAATTTCATACATACAAAATTATGTCATCTCTAATAAGGACAATGTTTTTTTCTTCTCTATGTTTATGCCTTTTATAGTAACTGAAGTCAACTGTTAAAAAGTTGTACTTATAGCAGTTATTATTATTTCAGAGAACAAGTTTTGATAATTCACTATTATTGTGTTACCTGCTATATGATATTTATAAGATTTCATTTATCAAATTAATGAAATTGACATTTATTTTTAGTTAACCAGATACTTATCTCGATTATGTACTATTAACTTCAATTAACACAGCACTTTGGCTAGGCGTCAGGTCTGTAAAAAATGCTGAAATGAATAAAAGGTATAAATTAATAACATTATAAAGGAAAGATTTTTCTGATACTCTCATCAATATCTCTTAATAGACTTAAGAACAAGTATCCTTATTAATTCTCATACAGATGATTTTGATAATTTTAAATGCTTTAAAATATCATATCATTTATAATTTTTCTAATTGTCATTGATAAAAGTGCTTAAATATTTCATTCCAATGTTTCAGTTCTATCAGCATTGGAATGAGGATTCTCACTGACCCTGATATATATATAGAATAAAATAGCTAGATTTATTTTCACTATAAGTGTGGCAAATCTAAATAAGAAACATAAAGGAAGGTCTATGAATGAATGACAGCTAAATTTTTGAAGTCATGGAAATAAAAAAATTGATCTATAGGAATTTTTAAACAATTGATTAAATAAAATAACCATTTTTGTGTCATCATTATGATCTAAATTAATTATTATAGAGAGGATTTTTTTCTTTAATTAAACCTTACAGTTCATCAGCACACCAACTTGCTTTATTTTTTAATTTTTTTATTATTATTTTTTGTGTGTGTGTGTGTTTTCTAATTTATCATTCAAAGCAAATTACTTGAACTTCAATGAAATTTCCATTTGCTGTGAACTTACCCTGGTGATTTTCAAAACTACCTGGTCTAATGCCAACCTAAAAATTCTTATTAAGTGTCAGGGTTTCCTGCTCAGCAATACTAAGAGAGAATAAAATAATTTGTGGGTAGATTTTTAGATCAAGAAAGGAATTAATCTTTATCTAGTCTGAATTCCTTCCCGTCCACCATCTTTATAGACAGAACAAAGCATCAGACAGACCAATTGACCTCTACAAGGTCAAAAACTTTATAACAATTTTCAGATCATTTAGCAAACTGATAGCATTGGGATTTCTTTTCCAAAATTCTACAACACTGTAAGATGAAGAGCACCTTCTGGTTTTAAGTTGCAAACCCTGATGTTTAGAGATAAATAACAGTATGAATGTTTCCTACAATCCCAGAGTCAGGACTTGATCTATACTATTGCTTTTCTTGACACAAAACATTCATATACATATCTACATATATACAAAAATCAATTAAAATCATGTGATAATGTGACAAGATAGGAAGAAGGAAATTCCAAAAGAAGTGGCAGATCTTAAACATATTGATATAATTGCAGTAACCAAACATCTAAGCCTTATTTCTATTTTAATTCAAGAACGTAATTATAAAAATATCTTCTGAGCTTATCTTTTCTCTCAATTGGCTTTTACAAAATCATCATACACCTCTGCTAACAGAATATTCATTCTGTAATATCCTGTCTCTTACTTACGTATATTTCCAAGATGCGCTATCCTAAAACAACTGGAAAAAGAATATTGAAATTTTAATTATTTAGGGGCCAAAGGGGTAGGTTTTGTGGGGGTGAGCTAGGTTTTATTGGGTACAAGATAATCAGCAGGTCAAACATTATTAAGTATTTGTTTTATTGCATATTCTAATGGAATTTTTCAAAAGAATCATCCTGCTATTCCTACAACATTAAAGATAACTACTTAGTTGATTTAACATTGAAAATATTTTCCCCAGAAGTAGTTTCCTACATTATGTAACAAAAACTTGAATTATAAAACAAATTATAATTACAGAAACATTACAAAGCAGATATCCCACATCCAAAGTACCCAAAAAGCTCTCCTCTACCTGGACTCACTCATTCTAATACTGCTCTAATTTAAGCATTGACCAGTCAACCATGTAACAGAAGCCAGGTTCATATGTTTATAGTCAAGTACCAGAAGAAACTGCAAGTTAGTCAGTAGAACATCAAAGTCATTCAAAGTTTATATTTACAACTATAACACAAAAACTTTTACCTCCACTACTTATTGCCAGATGCTTAATCTTCAACATTGTACTAGATTTTTAATTGAAAAATATAGAAGAGGTTGCTATTATGTGGACATTTGGATATGTGCAAAAATCTTCACATTTACATTAGAGAACCTTTCAAACATTTGATTTTTGTTATGGTTTAGATATTAGGTGTCCACCAAAATCTCATGTCTGAGGCAATGCAAGAAAGTTAAAGGTCAAATGATTGAGTTATGAGAATTTTAACCTAATCATTGTGTTAATAACTTGATAGGGATGAACTGAGTGGTGACTGTTGACAGTTGTGGTGTGGCTGGAGGAGGTGGGTCACTGAGGGTAACATTTGGGGTATATAGTTTGTGAGCCAAGCTTAGTCTTTCTCTGCTTCCTGGTGCTGTGTCTTGAGCTTCTTTAAACCACATTCTTCTGCCATGATATTCTGGACTGAGACCTCTGAAACCTTGAGTCCCAAATAAACTTTTACTTCTCTAAAATTGTTCTTGTCATATCTTTTGGTCACAACAGTGAAAAAAACTGATTAAAATAGTTGTCAGTATTAAACTTTCATCTGCAATAGCTTATAATTTACTTCCTATAAAGATAATAAATTTCTGGCCAATAAAATGACAATAGATTAATGTGACCCAGGTGAAAGCTTCTCAATGTAAATTCTGCCCACTGACTATCTCTATAACCACTAGCTTAGAAACATCTTTATATGTACACATATAATTATAGTGTGAGACATTGTTTGAATGAAAGTAAAGCCTAATAGAAGGTTATTTATTCTGTCAAGAAATCTTAGAATCTGAGAGGCACTATTAAGCTTAGTCAATTTGACAAGTCTGGTCATAAAGTAGAAAATATGGGAAAAACATTTTCAAGTCATGTGTCTAATAAAAACCTAATATTTCAAACATAATCAAAATTAAATGACAAATAACCCAAATAAAAACTTTTGAAGACTCAAGTATACATTTTTTTCAAAGAAGAGAGACAAATGGCTAAAAAAACCATTGTAAAGACTGGGGTGGTGCCTCACTGGTAGAGCACTTGCTTAGCAAGTGTGAGGCCCTGGATTTGATCCTCAGTACCACATGTAAATAAATAAAATAAAGGTATTGTGTCCATTTACAATGAAAAAATAAATTTTAAAAATGAAAAGATGCTCCACATTGTTTTCCACGGAGTAGAACCACATTAAGATACTCTTTCATACTAAGATAGCTAAGGTAAAAAAAAAAGATGGGAAATAACCATGTTGATGACATTATAGTTTGGATGTTGAAGGACTCCCCCAAAGGTCCATGAATTAAAGGCTGGGTCTCTGGGATGGTGCTATGGGGAGGTGATGGAACCTTGGGAGTTTAGGCCAAATGGCAGTTCCTTAGTTCATTGGTGTTCTGTCATTGCATGGAAGAGGGAACTCATATCTACTTCCTTACCCTTCTTTTGCTCCTAGCCATGAAGATTGCAATTTTCTCCACACATACCCTTGAGTATTGACATTCATCACTCCTCCCCCGCCACCAAAGCAATAGGTTTTCCTGATATTGGGCTAGAACCTCAAAGATTATGAGATAAATAAACCTTCTTTGCTCTTATAATTATCTCAGGTATTTTGTTACAGTAAAGCAAGACTGACTAATACTGTGAGGATATGGAAAAGTTGGAACTCCCATAAATTTCTGGGGAGATTTTTAAGCAGGGCAACCATTTCAGAAAACTGCCTGAAATTCTTGGAGAAGCTACACATGTTGTCAATAACAATGTATTACACACTTAAAATTACAGGAGGGTATATCTCCTATTCTTTGTTATTTTAACAATAACAGCAACAAGTTAGATGTAGAGTTACCATGTGACCCAGCACTTTCATTCTTAAGTATTTTCCCAAGAAAATTTATTATGTATATCCACTCAAAATTTGTACACAAATGTGTAAAGCAACAATATTCATAATAACGAAAAGTACAAGCAGCCCAAATACTTACCAACTGACAATAATAACCAAAATGTAGTATGTCCATATGATAGTATATTGTGCAACTACCAAAAGTGATGGAGTATTGCTACATGCTAAAATACTTATGAAGCTTGAAAACATCATCCAACATGAAAGAAGCCAGATAAAAACTGCTACAAGTTACACTATTCTGTTTACGGAAACATTCAGACTGGGCAAATTCAGAGACAAGGTAGATGGAAGGTTGTCTGGGGAAGAGGGTCAAGTAATTAATGACTATTAATGGATACAAGTGTCTTTTAGGACATTACAAATATTCTTAAATTAGTGTTCATTGCACAATTTTATAAATAAGGCACTTTACTAAAACTCACTGTATCATACTTTTAAGAGGTGAATATTATATATGTGGATTATATATCAATTTAAAATCTCTAAAAGTAGATGATAAGGTAATTTGAAAAAAGCCCCCAAATACTTGAAAATAGAACTGAAACCAGTGTTTAAAATAAAAATAAAATAGTAAAATATCTAAGTAAAATTCCCCTGTAAACAACAAATATACTTGGGAAGTCCTACTGCTGAAGCAGAGGTGGTAAGTAAGCCATAGATTTCAGGGATCTTGTTACCTCTTTCCTTTGAAAAGGAAGCAAATCCAAGTTATCAGTATGGCAAGAAGTTTCAATTAACTAAATTTAAATTGTTATAGGATTAAGCTCTATAGATCTCTTATGTTAAATGCTTATTATATTTTCAATTTTTGGCAAATAAATAGTGAATTCAGGTTTTCACTGAAGCCAACTATGTAATAAATGTTTAATTTGCAAAGTCACTCAATTATAAGCATTTGCTAAGAAAAAAAAATCAAAATATGGCCATATAAATTTTTAAGGTCCTTGGCAAAGTCGTATTTACAGTAAATGTGGATGCATTTGCAGCAGTTTAATTTTTTTAATGTATAAATTAGCTGTGACTAATGATCTCATAGCAATTTTGCTAAATTTTTCAATATGTCAAGAGGTTTTTTGGGCCTAATAATGCCCAGAGACTCCAGCCTGTGGCTCTCTGATCTGGTAATGCTGGCAGTTCCTTGACAAAAGTGTCCAAACACTAACATTGAAACACTTGA